TAAGATTTATTCCAGGAATGCAAAGTTCAACATCAGAAAATCTATCACCATAATTTACGTTAACAGAATAAAGGACACTATTGATGTGATCACCTCATGGATGCCGTGGAGACGTTCCATAAAATTTGAATTTTATTCATGATAAAAGTTACTAGCAACCTAGGAATTACTAACTTGATAAAGTATCTACAAAAAAAATCCTATGCAAGCATCGTATATCATGGTAGAATTCAGAAAGAATTCCCTTTAAAATTAGAAAAAGGCAATGATTCTTGGTATCAGTACTTAGGTTCAACATTGAACTTCAGGGCCTAGCCAGTTCTAGAAACAGACTTTCACTTCACGAGGGCAGAGGTTTTGTCTGTTTTGTTTACGGCTGTGTTCCCGTGCTTAGAACAGTGCCCGACAGACGCTTGTGGGCATTCAGCGAGGACTTACTGAATTAAGATAAATACAATATGTAAGGATTAGAAAAGAAATAAGAAAAACCGTCCTTAAACACAGATGACGTTGTTGTGTATGCATGAAACCTACAATAATCTAAGACTAATTAGTGTTTAGCAGGATGCTGAATGTAAGATTGCTCAAGTAAGCCCACTGCATTTATTTACAACGTCAGCAATCCTGACAATAAACCTAACAAAATACGTGTACAAGATCTTTATGTAAAAAATTACTGAACTTTATTGAAAGACATTAAAGAGGACTTAAATAAATGAAGTTACATATCATGTTAATTAGTGTCAGTTTCATAGAATTGTTGATTTCCGCTAAATTGATCTGCAGATTCAATGCAATCCCAATGACAATACCAGTGTTTTTGTCTATTTGTTTTGGAACTTTACGAGCTGCTTCCAAGTTTATAAGAAAGAGCAAAGACCCCCAATAGTCAAGATTACTTAAGAAGGTGGCTGAGATGTGGCCGGGTGGCATGGGGGGGAGGCTGTTCTCGCCAATGATAAGGTTTATTACAAAGCTATGACGACGACGACCTTGTGGTGTTGGCCCCAGAGTAGCTACATGGACATCAAGAGGATGGAGACAAGACTCATTGTGTGTAGAGACTGGACGTATGGCAGCTGAGTCCGCGGTTTATTGGGGAGACAATTTAGGGATTCAACAGTCAGTGTGGGTGTTAACTGAAGGTCACTATGGGGAAAACTAGAAATTGGGTCTTGGTCCACACCATTCACAAAAGAAATCTATTTCAGATGGAAGAACGACGAAAGAGGCAAAACTCTGAAACTCTTAGAAGAAAGTACAGGAGGTTATCTTTAGTACCAGCGGTAGGGACTGATTTGTTAAGGCAAATGAAGCTCCAGCCATGACTGAAGAAAGATCTATGAAGTTAAGAGTTTCTCTTGGTTGTGGCTGCACCGTGCCTGCTGGGTGAGGGGTGACCTGGGGGCAGGTGGCCGACCAGCGGGAACGGGGGGCGAAGTTGCAGCCAAGGGCAGAGGGAGGGGTGTGCACAGAAGGTCTCGCAGTCAAGGTCAGACTCTGGCTTTTACTCTGAGTGAGATAGAAGGATTTGTAGGGTTCCGTAAAGAGGGACGACATGACCTGGATTTTAAGACACATCCCTGGCGGCTCTGTTGGGAACAGAATACGGGGCCCAGACGTAGACAGCTGGACCCTTCCGGATCATCCTCAGCAGGTTTTTTCAGAAGCAGCCCCTGGGGCGAGAATTCGGTGCGAGTCGTTGATTCTCAGGGCAGTCCCAGGAATCCGGTGGGGGAGGTGCAGGGAGCCTGTCAGGAAAAGGTCAGTTTGCTGCTGGAGCTCAGTTCTCCTGCGGGACTCGGAGCTGGCGTAGTTATCCCGTCCCGTGACGGGGGAGCTGGGGTGGAATCTCTGGCACATCCAGCCTGGCCGGGGAAAGGCTCAGGGGAAGAGGGGGATGCTGACGGTTGGGTGTTGGACACTGAAGCGAGGCCTGAGGGACGTGGGTGTCACAGACCATGACCGCCGTGCTGGGGCTGGTGAGCGGCTGCCGCGTTCTGGGGTGGGACGTGGGCGTGGGAGATGGGGCAGAAACGGCAACGCGTGTGGCCGCACACGTGGGGCACCACCGATGTGAACGGGGTAGAACGTAGTGGAGCAGCTTTGCCAGGGGAGGACAGGAAGCCACGTGGATGTGTGACGTTTGCGTCGCCTGTGAGACTTCCCAGAGGAACCGCGGGACAGCCGGTTGGACAGGTGGCCTGGAGTTGGAGGAAAGGCCCAGGCCGGCGACGTCGGGTTGGGAATGACGAGCACAAGAGAGGGGTCAGGTCCGTGAGCCTGGGTGAGGCTGAGGAGGGACACGTGCTGCTCCCGGACACGCCACCGCTCGGGGACGGAGGGACGAGTGGCGTTGGCAGAAGAGGGTGTGGAGCCAGGGCCGGGCCGGGAGCTTTTCCAAACAACCAGCAGAGGCTCTCCTGTGAATCGGGAAACAAATCAAAAGCAGCCAAATGGAAACATGCGCAGAAGGTGTAATCTTTTTTTTTTTTTTTTTTTTTGAGACAGGGTCTCACTCTGTTGCCCGGGCTAGAGTGAGTGCCGTGGCGTCATCCTAGCTCACAGCTACCTCCAACTCCTGGGCTCAAGCGATCCCTCTGCCTCAGCCTCCCGAGTAGCTGGGACTACAGGCATGTGCCTGGCTAACCATGCCTGGCTAATTTTTTCTATATATTTTTAGTTGTCCAATTAATTTCTTTCTAATTTTAGCAGAGACGGGGTCTCGCTCTTGCTTAGGCTGGTTTCGAACTCCTGAGCTCAAACCATCCGCCCGCCTCGGCCTCCCAGAGAGCTAGGATTACAGGCGTGAGCCACCGCGCCCAGAAGGTGTAATCTTATTTGCAATCAGAGAAATAGAAACCACACTGACGTTGAGACACCATTTCGCGCCCGCCAGTTTTGTCAGACGTGGAGATTCCAACAGTGGCAAGAGCTGGCAAGGACACGGAGCAGCCGGAACTCTCCCGCAGTCCTGGTGGAGGTGTCGCTTGGACAGCCTCCTTGGAGCCGTTGGCTGTGCCTGGAGAGTTGGGCGTGTGCTAACCTACAGCCCGCACCTCACCCCTAGGTGCAGGTCCCAGGGGTGTCTGCACGGAAGACCCCAGACACGTTTCCACGCAGACGTTTCTGGCAGCAGCGTTCCTGGGAACCAAGCCCTGAAGCATCGGGTGCCATTAGCGGTAGGATGATCCGCGGTCAGGTGTGTTAATGTGGTGGCAGTACGTAAATGAGGTGACACGGAGCTCCCCACTGCGAGGACACGGCTCTGGGGGTCTGCGTGGTTGTGCCTCCTTTCCGATGACGTCGACATAGACGCTTCTCAAAAGCTGCTCGCCGTCAGAGCGTGAGTTTGCACAACTCAGACCTACGGACAATGTGGTCCATTGCGAAGGTTACGAACAGGCAGACACATAGTGCATTTCGATAGTTGGTGGTAAAACCGAAGACAAGGGATCATTACCAAGAAAAGGATGGTTACCATGTCTAGAGACATCCTCAGGAGGGGATGTCCTGGGGAGTCCACCGTTCAGAAGTGATGGTGACATTCTGTTTTTTAAGCTGGGTGACGAATGTATGGGTATTTATTTTTTGTTAAAACTTTCATATTCTTTTGTTTATGTGATATGTTTTATGGTTTTAAAAAGTTAATGATCCCACTTGCACCCAGGGTTGAGGCTGCAGTGAGCTATGAAGACCCCACTGCACTCCAGCCCAGCAAGAGCGGGACCTGGTCTCAATTTAAAAAAAGAAAAAAAGTTAATGATATGAGTAATCCAGGCAAAAGAGCCAAAACCTGCCATTTAAACACAAAAACTGAGATTGTTTGGTTCCACCAGCCCTTGGTGGTGCGGAGTTTCTCGGGGCTGCCCTTCCACTGTGCCCATCTCCCCAGCGCCGTCTGCCAAGAGCAGGTCGGCTATGTTTCTGATCCCCGTGGGCCTCCTCCTGGGAAACAAGTCTTTGTTCACCCAGATAAAGGGATCCCAACACTGAGTTCCCAACTGCAAGCCCACAGCTTTGGGGGGTTTCTGCAGGTGTGCACCTCCTTTCCAAGGGAGGGGCCAGACCCCTGACTTCTGAGGGGGCCTCACGAGGAGGTGCGGGTAGGGGCCGCCTGGCTGACGTCACAGACGTGCAGGGAGTACCGAGGCCCCCCCAGAAGGCAGAGGCCTCCTGCAGGCAGCTGAAGTAACCCAGCATCCAGGGCTGCCTGTGGCTGTGTCTCGCCTGCCCTCCTTGGCAGCCACCGTCAACCCAGATGCCCAGCAGGTTGGTGGGGATGGACAAGCTGCTGGTTTGAAAGCTCAGCTGTTCCCTGGCCACCCCTTGCTCTTGGAGCTCGAGTCATCTTCCTGTTCTGCCTGGAGGAGAAAAGACAGAAGGAAAGCCATCGTGCAGATTGGTGGTCTTTTGTTTTGTTTGTTTGTTTGTTTTTCATTTGGAGCCACTTCATGTGTTTACTTCGTGAATGCACTTTTTTTCCTTAGGCAAAAATATGAGTGTCAGTTCCCATCCCCAACTCAAAAATCAAAACAGAGTCTTAGCCAGGGCACCCAGGGAGAAGGCTCCAAGCACGCATGAAACTGACATTGATTTCTTTGCCTGGAAATAAGAAAATAAGTGTCTGTGAGTCATCTTTGGATTTGCATTACAAACAAGAATGCAAACGAATGCCACCCTGTCTGCATAACCTACAGATTTCAAAATGCATTATGATTTGATACATTTTTAAGAATAATATGCAGTTTATCAAAATCCTAAAATTTTCTAGTTAAGTATTCAGAGTTTGAGTTTCTGCTTGTGTTGATGACTCATTTTCTCTTTTGTTTTCTGTTTTTGTTCTTGATTTACCTTAACCTACCTGCTGACTCACGCCATCCAACCAACATACAATGCGAAAACCCATGTCTCCGTCTGTATGTTGTGCACCTGCTGCTCAAACCACCCCAATTTGTAAATAACACGCAAATATCCATCCATGAAAACATCACATATAGGAAACGGTTGGTTTTGTGACTTTAAACGGTTCTTAAAGCCCCTCGCTGTGCTTGCTCTGCTCTCTGCCCTGTCCCCGGGGACTCTGACCCCTGCCCTTGGAGGCGTGCGGTTGGGTTCAGCTGCACCCACTCACCTCTGGCCTCTCGTGTACCCTCCCCCGGTCCCAGGGGTCCAGCAGGGGCCTCTCAGGAGCTGTTTGATTCTGGGACCTGGCCAAGGCGGGAGGTGGGGTTTCCGGAGTGGGTGGTGGGTCGGTGCCTATGGCAACATTTCCTGTTGGGACTGGCTCAGCCTTGGGAGGTTTTGCAGCCGTGAGTTTGGTCCCGATGCCTGTGAGCCGTGGTTTCTGTGGCACCACCGTCTCCCTCCTGCTCTGTCCACCTCACACCGGCAGACCGGGAAGGTTTGGCTTTCCCTGGGTGGGCTCTGCGAGGCCCCCAGTAGCATTCGTCCTGGACAGACCCTTCCTCAGGGGGCCAGGCCTGGGGCACAGGGCTCGGGGCAGGGTTTGGAGATTTTGTCTTCATGATTCAGAAGAGGTCACGTAGGGCCTCAGTAGTACTAAGAAAGGGCTCTGCTCCAAGACACAGCAGAGCGCAGGGTTCCCCATTCTCGCGTCGTGGACTTGTGTGCTGCGCCCTGGTCGGCACGCTGTGCGGAGTGCAGGTGCACCGGGGCTGCCTTCCAGGTCCTTAGGAATTTTGAGAAGAGAGCAAAGGTATTTGGCTTTGCTCCACTTCGGCTGTGACTGTGGACGTTTATCTAAAGTGGCAGATATTTGAGATCCTCTCACTGAAAGGGGATGTTTGTGATACAGCGTTTCACAACTGGAGCGGAACAGGAACAGGCTGAGCTATGGGAGAATGCTGCTTGATGCTGCACACGTGCCCTGGGGGTGCCAGCCAGGCCTCTGCGCGGCCACCGTGCCGGAGAGCCCTTCCCGCCCGGGCTGCCCGTCCTGTTTTTCGCAGCACACACAGCCACCTGTGCATTACGTGCGTGTATGGGCACATTTTTCTTTCCTTTCTTAGTCACTATCCCCCATTAGAGTGAAAGCGTAGAGAGTAGTTTGTTTATAGCTCCTGGACCTTGTCCCCACCAGCCTGGTGCGTGGCCACAGCAGGCGTCCGTGGGTCTGGGCTGAGTGCTCAGTGGGCGCTCAGGACAAGCTGCCCTTGCTTTCCTGTGGTTCTGGCCAGAGGCTGAGGTGGGCTCGGATGCAGGGAACGCCGGCCAAGGTCTGGGGGCAGCTGGGTACCTTCTACGTTATTCCTCACCACCTGGGTGTGGGTGTCCCTAACGTCTCTATTTCGTGGATGAGAAAGCTGAGGAGAGGTTTAGGGACCATTGTGCCCTCCGAGAGTCAACAGCCACACTGAGGGGTATGATGACGCAGCTTTGGGATGCTCTAGACCTTTCCTGACTCAGGTGGCAGCAAGGAAGGGCCTGGCCTTGAAGTAGGGGTAGCTGCTCCTGGTACAGCAGAAACCACGGACTCTGGGAGGCTGGGGCAGGCCGTGTCCACCTCCGGGAGTGGCTGAGGCCAGAGGTGATGGTGCAGTTGCCCAGCCGCAGGCGGCCAGCGTGTGTTCGCTGCCCCTGCTGTCCTGCATGCACTTGGCATGGTGCCTGTCCGCCACGCTGTGCTTGGGGCATCTCTGGTTGTCACCATCCGTCTTCACAGTTCTGTAGGGCTACCTGTCTGTCACTCTCCCACCCTCTCCTGAGTACCCACCGGAGCCCCAAGAGAGAAGCCGGGGTGGGGGAGCCTGGGTCTCTGAGAGAATAGCGAGTGGCCGTGGTAGGCTTCGCTTCACGCATTACGCAATCTGGGTAAACTGTCACTCTGCACGTGCCTTTTCGCCTGCCCTGTTGCCCTCCAGCCCTTCTTTCCTATCTGGGCACCTTTATTTCCCCCTGACTGTACGTGGCTTGGAGCTGGGCAGGTGCTGGGTGTCCCAGTCCCTGCCCCTCCAGACCCACTGAGCAGGTGGCTTCAAAGTGGGAGCCCCCAGCCCCCAGCTCTGCTTAACTGCCTTGTACAAGGACTTCCTGAGCCGGGAGGCAGTGTCCTCTTCCTCCCTGTGCCCAAGGCTCATCTGTGGGTCCTCCAGGCCCAGACTGGTGAGTGGGTAGTTTTTGGCCATTTTGTCCACCACTGAGACTTTCTTTCCTGGGCACGAGCGGGTTAGGGGGCTGCAGGCCCTCCTGCGCAGCCTTTAGGGTCGCACCCTGAGGGTCTGCTTCTGCCTTTTTCCTGACTCAAACCATAATCGGCCCTCCCTGTGCCCACCGACCCCTCCAGGTGTGGTTCACGACAGTTCTGCTCCCACAGCTCCAACTTCCTGCCTGAGAGCCAGTCCCTGCAGAGTCCAGAGTCCAGCTACGCTGGGGGAACCTGCCCTGAGGGTGGAGCGCAGACGAGGCAGAAGTGTCCTCTCAGCATGGGTCGGCCACTGTCCCTGGAAGTAGGAGTGAGGCCCACCCCTCCGCTGAGTACTTCATTCTGGGCAAGGTGGTGGCCCTGGGGAGTTGGGACGCCCTGTCTGCCCAGGCTCCCGCCACCTCTGAGCTTGCTCATGCCCTCCTGCTGTCTCGTTCAACATCCGTGTTCTCTTCTCTCTTTGTCTGATGGCTGGATCTGACAACACAAACGTGTCTGAGCCTGAGCTGCTTGCGTATTTAAAAATGCCAAAATGGCAGGAAGCTGCTCTCAGACTGTGTGGGCTCCTGGTCTCTAAGTAGACAGAGGGCAGAGAGCCGCTTGGGTCCACAAACATCCCCATCTGTGCACAGACGCCCCTGCAGAGCCGTGCTGCCCTGAAAGGGGTGTGCGGTGGTTCAAGGTGGCAGCCTTGCTACCAAGGCTACGGGGCCACGTGGCAGCCTCACTCCCAGGTAACGTGTGGAGTCTGGGTTCATCGGTTGCCTTTGGGCTTGATTTCGAGCCCCTGGATGAGGGAGCCACGCTGGATGCCCTGGTCCTCCAGAGCAGAGACCTGCTGGACTTGGGTTGCAGAGGTGGTGTCTGTGGCCTGTGCCGCAGAACAGCCATATTTGCACCTTCCGAGACCTATGTGCAGATGCCTGGAGCAGCCCCAGAGGAAGTGTTCGCCCCTCTGCTGGGTCCCAGCTGGGGTCACAGGCAGTCAGGGGCTTTGCTGGGGAGCCGGGAAGGGAAAGGCATGAGCACCCAGCCTGGGCGGGGGTCCTGTCAGGGTGCTCAGTGCAGAAGCAGTCGTGCCCAGCACATGCACAGCTCGGCTGTGTCCTGCTAGGGGGTCACTGTGGGAGGCCCAGCCACATGTGGCCTCCTCCCAGCTCCACCTGGCAGCAGGGAGCTGCTGGGGAGAACTTTCCTCTCTGTCCCTCACTGTCGGTGGCAGGAAGGGTCTTAGAGCGAAGAGAGTTTTCTCTGATTTGCTGCATGAGAAGTGACTTGCAAGGTCAAGCTTTACTTTTAGAAGGTTTTCTGGCGGCCGATTGCTGCTTAGACTGTGAAACAGAGACTTTTTCTTTTAAGCTCTCTTTTAACCACTTTTCTTCAGGGCCACAGGGGCTTGGGAGGAGGTTATGGGGTGGGAGCAGCTTGCCTGGGGGCGATTTCCCAAGGTCTGAGAGCAGCCCTCCTTCCCTGCAGAACAACTTCATCAACCTCAGCTTTCTCCGCCTCTTCCGCGCGGCGCGGCTCATCAAGCTGCTCCGCCAGGGCTACACCATCCGCATCCTGCTGTGGACCTTCGTCCAGTCCTTCAAGGTGAGGTGGGGGTGCTGTGGGCAAGCGGGGTGGTGCCCCTGGTGCTTCCCCATCCTCTTCCTTTTCCTGCCCCCAGCCCCCTCCAGGGTGGCACCTCCTCTGGACAGCGGGGAGAGAGCGGGGTGTGCACGTCCCTGTGGGTGCATGCGGTCCCGTTGTAGTCTAGAAAGACATTTAAGTTATCCATAGATTACCTTGTTAATGCTCACAGGAACCGTGAGGTGGGTTTTATGATCCAGTTTACAGACGGGGAAACTGGGGCGGTCACTTGGTGGTCGGTGGGTGGAGCTGGGTCCGCTGAGGTCTGTGTGGCCCAGAGCTGATGTGTCCGGGTCTCTGCAGGCCCTGCCCTACGTGTGTCTGCTCATCGCCATGCTCTTCTTCATCTACGCCATCATCGGGATGCAGGTGGGTGCTCCCCCAGACTGGAGGGCGGACACAGGGCTCCCGTCCACTGGGCCAAGAGGGCCTGGGTCGTGGTCGTTACCCCTAGAGGACCTAACTGTAAGCCAGACACTGTTGTCAGCACTTAATGAACCTACCTCATCCTCAGAAAGATGGGGCTGGGCCGCGTGCCCAGGGTCCTGCTGGTGGGGGCAGCCCAGCCCTGTGCTTGCCGCGTCTGTCCGGGTGGACGCCGTGTTCTCAAGGGCGGGGTGGCCTTTCTGCGAGCGATGTCGGGGTGCCGGGGCCGCGTTGGGGTGGGTGTCTGAGCAGCCTGCGGAGCGGTGGTGGGCTACTCTGTCGGTCTGGCAGTGTTCCTGGAGGACGGCCCCTGACCCAGGACGGGAGGTTACGTGCTACTGAGGAAAACTGCCTGAGAGTGTGGGCAGGGTCACGTCGGATCGCTATACTTGACAAGTTTAGCTTGCATAATTTAGATTTTCTTTATTTTGCCAAAGAGCACTTTGTCAGCTATTCGGGAAAAAACATCTAAACGACATAAAGCAGCGTCCCAGTTATGAATCCTTGGCATCTGACCACTTTCCGACATTAAGGATGGGAGACGCACCCAAGTGTTAATTTACAGTTGGGGGGTGGGGCCAGTGTCTTAAAGGTTAGCCGAAAACTGTCTTGTTAACTCTGTTTGAGGGATTGAAGAGTTCTCTTGTTTTACAGTTTGCTGAGATCTGATGCTGTTTTAAATGTATATTTTTTCCTGCTTTGGTCTGTGGATGTGTAAGAGCATGCGTGTTGCTGATCTTTGTGGAAGTGAGATAGTTCATAATTTCCAGCCAGAGTTTTAGGCTAAGTACAGTTATTCACCCATTTCTGTTTCTCATGCTGAAAAAAATCAATTAAAATGGATAAGAAGCCCATCATGCTATTTGCACAGAAGTTTGAAAAGAAATTTCTCGGTGACCTATCAGAGCTGTTACCAGTATAATTACTGCTCTGGAATCGTTGGAGAGAGTGAACCCCAAACTGCTTCCTGTCCTACGCACAGCAGAGCCCTTGTGACTCCACTCCAGGCCCCGTTCCTACCGTCAGTAGTGATTCAGACTTGCGTCAGGCTCAGAGGCAAAGCCAGCACGTGCTGAGCAGTGTGTTCAGTTATCGGGACGTTGTGCACACCTCGGGTGGGAGCTCTCCCGCTAAGGGCAGCCTCCCGTCCCTTGTGGGGTCCCTGTCGCTGCATGCACACCCCCTACATCTGCCTGCCGTGGTGCCAGCGTGCCATCGCTCCTCTCCGTTTCAGGTATTTGGAAACATTGCCCTGGATGATGATACTAGCATCAACCGGCACAACAACTTCCAGACCTTTCTGCAAGCCCTGATGCTGCTGTTCAGGTGTGTTGCCGGTCAGCCTAGGCTGACATTCACTCTTCCAACAGGGGCTCCTTCACTCAGGGTAGAGGCGTGTAGGTACAAACCCATGGGGACCACCCCCTCCAACCCTGAAATCACACCAGCCTCCCCTCGGTGGGCCTCTCTAGTTCTTCTCCCCTCTCTGCTTATCCTTTCCAAAGGGCTCTTGGTGCCCTCCCTGGGGGCCCCGGGCCAGGCTGGCCTCCGCAGCCTTGTCGGCAGCTGAAGGACTCCAGTGAGGCTGCAGTGTGGGAGGTCTGGGAGGACCGAAGGTGCCCAGCGGGGTCTATCTTGATGTACTGGCCTCAAACTCTCCACCTGATCACCTTATTGGTCGCAGAGATGGGTGAGATCAGGGAAGCAGGCTGCAGGGGGACAGAGTTTGTAGCTACTTGGTGGCCCAAGGATCCCAGCTGGCCAGAACTGCTGGTCTGAACACACCTTTACCTCCTAGCATCCCTCGGCTACTGGACGCAGCCAAGCCAAGCAGCAGGTGGAACCTGGGGGGCCAGGAGGCCCGTGTATAAGCTTTAGGGCCTCCAGAGGCTCCTCGCCAGAGACATGCTTGGGACAACGCCCAGTGCCAGCTGCTGTTCCAAAGCATGGCATACCCTTGCAGACCAGGGCCTGCTGACCGTCCTGGTTTGAGAGTGGACTTGGGGGCAGCGGGGAGGGGTGACTGTGCATCCCTGCCTCCTGAGTCTCCCTGATTTTACCACACCTGACCCAGCACAGAGGAGAAGAGCTCTTTTGGGGATTTATGGTGGAGACTTTTCATTGCCTCGGGGCTCCCTCTTGAGGTTTCGCCACTTCTGTTCACTGACGCAAATGCGTCCAGTGCTGCAAGGCCAGCCTGGGTACACCCAGCACAGCCTGCCTGTCTGCAGAGAGGCCTGGGGCTCCTCGCTGTTCTCTGCAAAGAGGGCACATCAGACCCAGACGCGCTTTGCTGAGCTACCTGGAGGGGATTTTCCGACTCTTGCATAAGTTGGGCACACGTCCTCAGGCTTACACTTTTCCCAAATAGTGTTGTTTCTCTGGGCTTTAGCTGTTACAGTAATGTTATTTCGTCATTTACTAATATTCTGCTCTGTGCCAGAAAGGATTTGAGGCAAACCTGTGAAGTCAGACTTAGTTTTAAGCCTTTGGTCTCACAGATTTCTGTTCCTGTCTGAGCTTTGTGTCACATGGGAGCAGCCTCATCAGTCAGGCCTGGCGCAGACTGACACGGCAGCCCTGCAGGGGCCCTCTTCCCGGCCACCGTCAGTGGGGAGTGGGCCCAGCTCCTGCCCAGGGCTGGCCATGCACAGGTGGGGACCCAGACCTCTGACCCACCTGCACCCTGTAACCTCTGGTGCTGGCTGTGTGTACAGGAACAGAGTCCCCCAGCGTGGCTGCCCAGGGTGGGGGTATTCTCAAGGAACAGTGGGGTTGGTGTGGCTGGAGTGGACTGAGCAGGGACCGAGGCAGGGAGTGAAGTCAGGGAAAGGGTGGCCAGCAGGTCCCACAGGGCTGTGGCAGTTCTGTGAATTTTGGCTTTTGTGGCGAGTGAGGGGAGTCACTGAGGGTTTTGAGAGGAGAAGCGATGTGATCGGACCTGTGTTCAGTGGACCCACTGGGCTGCCGTGTAGGGTGGAGCAAGAAGATCAGTTAGGAAGCTGTCCCAACTCCAGGAAGGTCATTGTTGCTTGGCCCAGAGTGGTAAGAAGAGGTGAGTCCAGCTGTTTTTTGAAGGTAGATAAGCTGATAAACAGGATATAGAAAGAGAGGAAGCAAGGATTCTAGCGTTTTTGGCCTGAGCAACAGGAGGACAGAGTCACCATTTCTCGAAATAGGAAAGACGGGGATGGCTGTGTTTGGGAGGAGGTCAGGAGTCCCCCTGGGGCACGTGTGTCCACAAAGGAGAGCTCACTGTGCGCTGACTGTTAGCGCAACAGATCATTCTCAGTAACTAGTGCTTTCTCAGCGAACGAACAGTTTGGAAATCTAATGCCAGAGGGTTCTTTTGAAGAAACAGCCACCTGTTTCCCAGTCCTTGTACCCATGGGGCTCTGTGGGAAAGAGCCCAGAGGCGGGTGTGCTTGGCCCAGCTCTCCTTGGGACTGGGCCCCCCGATTCCTGGCTGGCTGGGGCCATGGGTGAAGTGGGAGCCTCCCCTCCCAGGCCTTCCCCTGGAGGCTGGGCCTCACGCTCTGCCCTCGTTCCCAGGAGTGCCACGGGGGAAGCCTGGCATGAGATCATGCTGGATTGTCTCAGCAACCGGGCCTGTGACGAGCGGGCCAGTGCCAGTGAGTGTGGGAGTGACTTCGCCTACTTCTACTTCGTCTCCTTCATCTTCCTGTGCTCCTTCCTGGTGAGTCCCGGCCTCTGCGCCACCCCAGCGCCACCCCAGCGCCACATCCTCCCAGCTCAATTCGTACTGGGGCCCCTCGTCGCCTGCACCACGAACTGGTTCTAGGAGATAATGGACCCTCAGCAATGCGCGCCTGTGGCCCCGCCTCAACTTCCATGGTAGGGTTGACATCTCGAGGGCAATTGTTCTTAGTCTCCAGCTTTTAGAAAGACACCACTGTGGTGGCAGGACATGAAGAAGCAGCACTCCAGCCAGCGTGCCTGTTGGTGAGCCCAGGAACGTAGCCTGGGCTGGAGCGGTGGGCAGGCCAGGTCCCAGGAGTGTGGATCTTATTCCAAGTCAGCAGAAGCTTCTGGGAGCCCTTGAGCAGGGACATGACATGATCTGCTTGGTGTTCTACAACCTGACTGTGGCTTCTGTGCAGATGGGGAGGAGGGGGGCTGTAGAATGAGTAGGGAGACCTTTGTGGGTAACCGTGGCCTAGGGAAGGGGGAGGTGAATGAATTAGGTGAGATTGGGCTACCTTTTAAAGGGAGAGCTGACGTGATTGATGATTGGATATGGGCATGAGGGAGGAGAGAAAAGGAAGCCATATCCTGGGTTTTTTTGAGGTGATGGGATAAGTGGTTCTTCCTCCATGATGGGAAGATTGGGGAGCTGCAGGCATGAGGGTAGGTTGGGGATAGAGAGAACAGACATGCCTGGTAGAACTCTGGAGATTCAATGAGTTGTCACTGGTGCTTGGCGTATTTATGGAGTGATGATGTTCTCTAGGATGCTGCTGTGTGAAGTGTAGCCCGGTGACCTGTGGCTTAAGCATCACCTGAGTGCTTGTTAGAAATGCGTATGCCTGAGTCCCTCCCCAGACTTACTGTATCAGGATCTCTGGGAGATGGGTCCAGGAATCTTTGAGTTTTAACAAGCTCTCAAGATGGTTTTGTGTGAGCTAAACTTTGAGGGACATTGACATAGGGAAAGAGCGTGAATTGAGAAGAAGGCTAAAGATTCTGCTATGAGAGCGTTTGGGAGACAGGAAGGAGCACTGGGTCCAAAGATCGAGAAGGAGCAGTCAGTGAGGCAGGTGGAGAACCAGGAGAGGGCAGTGCCCCAAAGCGAAGTGGAGAAATCACCTCCGAGGGAGGGAATCATCAACCATGTGAATTATCACTGGAACGAAAGTGAGATGACGACTGAGATCCGCTGGTTGGACATGGAACGGTGGAGGCCACTGGTGCACTTGGCAAGCACAGTCCGCGCTGGCATGGTGGGAGCACAAGCCCTGCCGCAGTGAGTCTGGGGTGGGGAGTGGTGAGGACAGACAGCTGCCCCCGGCAGTGGGCAGTGCGGAGGGAGCACTCCAGAGTCACGGTCGCAACTCTCGAGTGGGACCCACCAGCACAGTTGGTGCTTTTCTCTAGCCGCATTCACTTGTCAGTACCATGGGTGGTGAAGCAGGTTATCCAGATTTGGGGTTTCCCAGACAAGTGAAGGAAAGAGAGAAGGGTGTCTGTGAGAATGTGGTTATAGTGTTGGAGATGGGATCAAAGCTGGGGACAGAGGAAGTTGGGGATAGAGGGGGATGAGGACAAGGCTACTGGAGTAGAGGTTCTCAGGAGGACGAGAGGTTTTGGGGTGCAGTACTTGAGGAAGTGAGTTGAAAGGACAGGTGATACAGGCAGAGTGGGCCATGTGAAGTTAAGCCTTGGGAGGCATGGTGGTAACGTTACTGGCAGTCGTTGGTGACAGCTGTGTTTAGCATGAGTCACAGGAGCAAGGAGCTGAGCCGACAGTGGGAGAAGGTTTGGGATTGGAAGGGCCAGGCAGTGGTGACCCATCTCAGTGGGTCTTGAAAGCAACAAGGATGGCAAGAGTAGAAGTGGAGACAAAAACAGCCAGCCAGGTGCTCAGTTTCTGTGAAAGGAGGGGAAGGTTGGTAGATGGCATCAAAGGGCAGGTTTTTAGAGGGTCGAGGGGGACGTCCATCCTCTTAGCTATTCCAGATCCAGCGAGAGTAGGTGGGGATATTCAGGGAAGATGGAGACATAGGGTTTCTGACGATGATGGAATGTGAGCTTTGCAGGGTGCCATAGAAGGCTGGGTTGGTTGAAAATGGTGTGCACTTGAGACAGGTGAGCTTACGTGTAAAGAGAGAAATACAGAAAAATCTATAGAACCGTGTGTCACTAGTTTGCAGAAACCAAGGAAAGGGTTTGCATGTTGGGATCATCTCCTGATTCCCAGTCTCCCTGAGAAGACCCCGAGTGGGCAGCAAGGAGGGTGGACCTTTTTGGAATACCAGTGTCCTGTAGGAAGTGAGGCATTGATCTCGCTACTGTCCACAGACATCTGTCCCACCAGCCTGGCCTCACCATACAACTGGCTGCAGAGATGGGGTTCCATAGGAAGCCACATTGACAATGTCACGCCACCCACAGGGCCAGGACTCCCTAGGTTTAGCTGTTATTCTTCTCCAGAGAAGTGGATGTTTTGTGGCCACTGTCCTTTGTGTCTTGTCCCCATGACCTCCCTTATGGCTCTCGACTGACCCTGGTGTCTTTTCCTTAACTGAAGCAGAGAAGGGATGTGGGCTGGGAGCACAGCCCTCTGGGCACCTCCCTCACAGGTTGCACCTGCTGAGTAACTCATGCTTAGAAACACTTGGGACTAGTTTGGTCTGACAAAAATGAAGTGGAAAAAATGGAATTATGATTTGGGGGTGGGTGGCAGGACTAAGTTAGGTGGGGATTTGGTTACCTTGATTGGAATAGAGGGACACTGACAGAATAATAGGAAATGAAGTTGGTGATGACAACCTGCTGATAATTACTGAATCAGGCAGTAGATGGTATTATTATTATTGCAATGAAGAAATGGAGGCTTAGGATGTTAAATATCTTGGTCAACCCGTGTTTAGAACCCAAGCTGTTGAAATGGACAAACTCCTAGAAAGGCACAGATTACCATAACTGACTCAAGAAATAGACAATCTGAATAGACGTGTATCAAGTAAGGAGGTTGAATCAGTAATCTAAAACCTCCCAATAAAGAAAAGGCAAAGACCATTTAATGGCAAAAAGTCAGTCTCTTCAACAGTGGTTTTGGGAAAACTGTATATCTGTGTGCAAAAGAATGAAATTGGACCCTTACCTTATACCATATACAAAAATTAACACAAAATAAAAGAACTAAATGTAAGAGCTAAAACTATAAAACTCTTAGAAGAACACATAGGGGATAAATCTTTATGTCCTTGTATTTGGCAAAGAAGTCTTAGATTTGACACCAAAATCACAACAAAAGAAAAAACCGGTAAATCAGACTACTCAAAATTAAAAACTCTTGTGTATCAAAGGACACTATCAACATAATAAAAAGGCACCCCAAGGAATTGGAAAAAATATTTGCAAATCGTGTGTCTGATAAGGTGCTGATATTGGAATATATAAAGAATTCCTACAACTTAACAACAAAAATACAAACAACCCAATTAAGAAATGGAAAGTGGGCCGGGCGCAGTGGCTCACGCCTGTAATCCTAGCTCTCTGGGAGGCCGAGGCGGGCGGATTGTTTGAGCTCAGGAGTTCGAGACCAGCCTGAGCAAGAGCGAGACCCCGTCTCTACTAAAAATAGAAAGAAATTAATCGGACAACTAAAAATATATAGAAAAAATTAGCCGGGCATGGTGGTGCGTGCCTGTAGTCCCAGCTACTCGGGAGGCTGAGGCATGGGATCGCTTGAGCCCAGGAGTTTGAGGTTGCTGTGAGCTAGGCTGACACCACGGCACTCTAGCCCGGGCAACACAGTGAGACTCTGTCTCAAAAAAAAAAAAAAAAAAGAAATGGAAAGTGATGTCAGCCAGGTGGCCAACTAGAAGCTCCTAGTGTTTGTCCCCCTCACAAAGACACCCAGAACAGTGAATAAACAGCTACATTTTAATGAAAATAACTGAGGAAGAGTGTCAGAGTGTATCAGTGGAATAACAGAAACCCAGGTGAGCACAGAAACTCAGGATGGCCATATAGAGAACAGAAGGAAATGCCAGGCCTCCACCACCCCATCCCTCAAATAGGATCTGCTGGAAATGGGGTGGAACTTCTCCCTATGGTGAGCAGGTAAGGAAGAGAGTCCCAGCAATCCCCATCAACACTTTGGACACCTACAGACCTCACCACTGGGGTCCCCTGCAGTCCTCACAGGCTTTAAGTCCAATGGAGGGAGCTGCCTGGAGTCCATATGGCTACGCTCCCCCGAGAAAAGGAGCCGACACTGTGCCCATCTCCCTGCAGCCAGCAGGGCTACTGCACCACACCATCTTGGAATTGGAACTACAGCTGGAGTGTGTCTTGCTCTGGGGGTGAGTAGCCATGGCTCCCCTTCATCCCTGAGGCCGAGCTGCCACTGAACCAACCCAGACTGGTGGCCCAGGATCACCAAGCCAAGCTGTAAGCAGCTGTTATACCCTTCCCTGTGGCGCCAAGTGGAGGTGGAGCTGCTCTATCTCCCCCTCCCGGTGCCCTCGCATCAGAACTGAAGTGGTACGCTGCCTCCTGGGAAAACAAAATCTTGGCCACTCAGAGCAGTCACATCTCCCCAGGGCCTAAGTTAAAGTAGCACCTTGCCTCCCAGGAAACAGTGCTTTGGCCACACAGAGAAGTCACATACCCCAGTACCTAAGCTGAAGTGGTGCCCTACATCCCAGGGAAATGGTGCCTGGGATGCCCAGAACAGTCACGTCCCCTAGGCTTGAGCTGAAGCTGTACATTGCCCTCTGGGGAGTTGATACATGGCCAAGCTGAGCAGCTGCACATCCCAGGGCTGAGCTGATGTAGTACCCTTCATCCCAGGGAAACAAAGTAGTGGCTGAGCTGAGACACTCCACCCTGCAGGCCAAACAACTCTAGTGCCCTGACTCCCTGGAGCTAGGCTAGCCCTCTAGAGTCTCAGCTGCTGAGACACCCTTCTCCCTGGGTAGTGGAATCATCACTGTGCTGTTCCTTTTG